TGGTTTCTCCTGTTTTTATCGAGGGTTGATGTAGGTACAGTTTTTACCACCATGTTGTGATCCTCACTGTGCTTTTTTGATCTTCTCTGTACCAAGGCTGGGAGCTCAAGCACATCTGATAGGGCACCTCTGAGTCCACCAAACACCTGTGTTATCTATTTACAGATGTGCTACTTGCCTAACACCCAGAGCACAAACAGCAGCAGGCATCATTTATATTTTTCTACATTTGTACTCCCCAGACACATTCCCAACTGCAAGATCACTTATTTACAGTCCTCCTTGTCAGTCTTCTGTTCTCATCCCATCCTTCTCACCAATCTTCCATTTTTAACCCATTCCTCCCAACACCCGTCCTTAAGTGTAGATATATTTTAATTTGCATTTGTCTGAAGTGACAGCAAATTGCCAGAGACTTTATCAGATGCAACATGCTGAGGATAAGGAAAACTTGCTTTATGACTGCAGGTATTAAGAAGTTGGGAACAAAATATTATTAGGAGATGAGTACTGTTGGTAAATTTCTTCTACAGCATGTGAGGGTTTAGGGAGAATGTGGAAAATAAAGTATTTGCCATTTGGACCAGTAGTTTCTGAAACAACACAAAGCAATATCGGGTAGTAAGGTTTATGTCATATAGTTCAAATACAGATATATTTGGAGCAAAAGGCTGAATGCTGTTCCCTCTGCAATTTCTTGGTTCCGTGTGATCATGACGAATGAGCTCATGAGCCAGGGAATGCTAAGTGGCTGGGTCTGTGGCTGTGTATCTAGTTATCTAGTTAATTTGTGATTATTTTAACTGCATCTATTCAATAGCAGCACTGCACTGTGCAGCCAGAGTCCAATTTAAAACCTGTAATGGAAGAATCCTGAAATGACTCATTGGTGAGCATCTTCTGGAAATGAATAGGCCATTCGGAGTCCTGATTTTAGCAATTATAAGGTCCATGCCGTGCCATACACTGTCAAATACAGGTCTTGTCAACACACCCATGTTGATCAGTTGGGAAGAAGCAGAAAGGTAAGAGCTTGATTTTGTGCTGTGGCATCCTGTGTTTAACCACTCCTTCATGTGAGCAGTAGAACCTGACACTGTGTGGTGTCATGCACCATGTCGTGCACCATGAAGTGCCTTCATGTCATGCACCACGAAGTGGCCTTTCATTTCAGCTTATATTCCCTGATAACAAAAAATACCCCGATATATAATATATATATATATATATAAATATATATACCCTGTTATATATATATATACCCTGATAACAAAATAGCAGCAGAAGTTTGTTTGAAACCACGGTGCTTTTTCTAGCTATTCATCCAGGAAGATCCCAAGAGCCTTGTTAGTGTCGTGAGCTAATAAGAGAAAATAAGTGTAAAGAAATTATAGTTGGAATCTTCTGGTCTTAAGGATCTACACAGAGATCTCAGAGCTTGCCGCACAGTTTCCCTCCCATCAGGGGGAAATACAAAATGAATAATCAAGTGACCACACACCGTCCAATTTTGCCAGAAAGTTGGGATGAAACAGAATATTCTTCTCTCTCTCGGTGCGGATAGGGAATCAATGTCCGTATGTACTTTTAGCTCTTTCTAAGTAGCTTTCTGTAGTCTGATCCTAGAAGTTGTGCTTGTATTGATCCCATGGGAGGCTGTCATGTGGAACAGAGGCAAGCAGTGACTGAAAGACTGTGTCTGTGAGGGAAGGGATGAGTATGAGGATGTGTGTTCAAAAATATATCATTTCTCTCTTCAGACACTTTAATTTTTCCTTTGTGGGTCTCGTGCCATTGATTCCACTAGCATAAGTCCTGCCAACTGTGATGAGACAGGACTTGGGCCTCTGTCAGCCATTTGTTGTGTTTGTGTGTGAGCGTGTTCGTGTATGTGATTGCCTGACAGACACGTTGCATGTGCATCAGAGAGAGGAAATTCATAAAATTGCCTTGGTCTGAATTGGTGTTTTGAGTCTACTGCATATATGCTAAAGAATTTGTGTGATGTTAACACATACTACATGTGTCAGGTTTAATTACTACAGGAACTCACTGGTTTGCTCAGTAATAAGTAGATCTTGCAGCTTGCGAGGAGGAATCTTCAAATTATCTTTGGTAACAAAACTTGTGATTTTTCTCTGTTTCTTATCAAGTCCCTCTCATTTTAACTTTGAGAACAGCCCCGGTTAATACCAGAGCCAGATGCAGCTCTGATACTTTCCTTGGCATTTATGAATTAGGCTCGTGGTAAGAGCAAAAAGAGAGCACCACAGCACTCAGTATTGCCACCCATGAAACGTCTGAACTTTCAAAAGCAGGAGCAAAGTTATATTTATGCTCTTTCTCTCTCTGCCTCCACAGAAGTATAAACCTAGATTTCTAACAAGACTGTGTACCACTGGTGAGGGCAATACTACATAACAGCTACATCCTTCAGAGTGATTTTCTAGGCCTCATTTCACAGCAGTGTGTTATGGGTCTGTTCCTAACGTGCTGTCCAAGTGTGGCTGGGTAACCTCCACCGTGGCAAATTTGTTTTCCTTTTAGCGATGTAATTTAACAGGTAGAGCTGTTCTTGTGATGATTAATAAGCCACATTTGCCCAGAGTGAGCCCTGTAAATAAAAGTACCCAAACCAAAGGGGGTTAGGAACTAACACATTTGCTCTAGCAGCTAGCTATGTTTTCTACTAGGTCTCGCTGAGGTTTCAAATTTTTCCTCAAGTGAGGGTGTAAAAAAGCATACACTTCTTTATTCAGAACCACTACAGGAAAAAAAAAGGAAAAAAAAAGGGGGAATGTGAGCTTTCTTTTTGTTTCTTTGTTGTATTAGAAATCTCACTCCCTGTTGCAAGGCAGTAAGATGAGAAAATGGCTCTCGCACCTGCCAAGCTACCATCAGCAATTATTGCAACGCTTAGTGGGTTTCTGCCACCAGCCGAAGTCTCTTTGCTCCCTTTCATGTCAGAGATTTCAGTGTTCTTGTGGGGATGGTACAATTAAAACCACAAGATTTAGTGCTCTAATTCTCTTTTGTTTGCAACAAAAGGGAGAGACGTGGAAGTATGATATATAAGGCTGAGTTTCTGTTTTTGTTTTACTGACCAGAAAAAAATCGTGTGTATATGAAACTGTAACAATGACAGAGTTTGTTTAAATTCATCAAGCCGTTCCTTTAATAGCTGGATTAAAGGCTACCATTTCAATTAAAAGAATCTTGCTAATAAAAAAGTGTAGCACCTACATTTCACTCATCTCTGTTTACAAACCTTGACGCCTGAGAAGGCTGTACTTTATGTATTCCTGTCTATTTCTTTCAGTACAAATATTTTCTAGTTTTAGATATGTCACTAATGTGATGCAATGCCAAGGACACTGTTTTTTGACAAGTTTGTTAAAAATGCTCCCTATGATAAGTGTAGGAGGGAAGTATGGTGGTTGACAGGAACTCGTGTTTCATTTTGGGTCTTCGTCTTATACCTCTATGGGACCTGAGATAAATTAATAACTCAGATTGTTTCAGAGGGGACATCTGTGACCATGGGTGCAGTTCCCCTGTTGTAAACTGGCATCTGGCAGTGAGCTACTAAAATCTGATCTCATCACCCTCACTTCAGTGGAAATGGGAAATTCTGAAGGGCAACTCACCAGGTCCATTTTAGGATGAGATAAACTGTCATGGGAGCTGAGAATGTCTGTTTTGCAAAAGCATTGTGATCCACAGCTTAGACACCGAGGTGAAGGTGAGAAGGATCCATTCACGGCTCCACAGGGTTTCTTAGACACTCTGGGCAGCAGCAGAGCCTTGGGTTGTACCTGCTCAGCCACTTTGAAAATGATTCCTTTGAAGTTTCAACCTCAGTATTTGAAAAGCAAAACAAAACAAAAACAAACAAACAAACAAACTGCTGCTCCTGTTAAAATTCATGCTTACTTAAAAACAGATTACAGCCTCTTGGGCCTCAGTTTCTCCCTTTGTGAAATTAAACTGTTGATAAGATCTGTATATTTTAAGTAGTAACAGACAGGCTTTTGTAATGGATGCTGCAGGAAGTGAAATCCTCTTTTATGATAATCTGATCAGTCTTGCTAGAATCTGTGGAATTTAATTTTTTTTTTCTTGCTTTAAGGGTCGGTCCCTTTCATTTACCTAGCTGACTTTTCACTTACCTGGCTAAACATCCCAGTGTGCTGGCTCTGTGGGAAAATTGGTAAACTGGTTAACTGCCAAAGGGGAGTAATTTGACTTACCTGAAATGAACAACAGAGTAATGAAAATGCATTGCCTTTGTCCAACAGGATAAGCCTCAAATTGTACTGAAATAGAATTATGCTAGGGGAGTCAACATGCTGGATAATAATGAAGTTTAACGTGGATTAGCTGCATATAAAATGGATGTGTTAGAATGAATTGCTGAAGAAATAAAATGATGTCAGGCTTTTATCCTGACTCTTATGGCTTAAGAATGCTGCTCTCTTCTGTTTATAGGAGATCAAAGCTAGAGCTATTGAATGTGTTCTTTATTTGGCTGAGAAAAACAGATACAAAGATTTAATAAATACTTGACCTGTCAAATCAGGATGCCACTGGACCAAGGCCATAATGTTTGGCTCTGGACCACACCTGAGAAGTTGCAGAGATGGGAATAAAGTCCAGGAAGTAATAGTACATTAAAACAAGAATCCAGACTTCTTTAATGGTTTGTCTGGGCTTAAATTTGGAAATCCCTTGGTTGACTGATTGATTTTTATAGTTGCTGTTCCTTGTTTTTCCCTCCAGTAATATTTGTAGCTTTTTTTACTTTGTGCCTTTTCTTCTGGTAGTTAAATCTAGGAAGTTTCCAAACTAGGTGGCAACAATAATCTTAGAATGAGTGGGAAGTATAGAAGGGCTGCTGAGTGAGTTTTGGCCTAAAAATGACAAGTATTAATCCGTATGCTGAGACTTTTTTGTATATTTTTTTTTTCCTTAAAGATTTCCTGTTGCTTCATCTGTCCTAGGTTCATTCCTGTTCCTCAATGAGTCCAGGAGTCCAAGCCCTGTCATCCTGAGCCCTTGGCTGAGAAGCAGCAACAACCAATGCATAGTTCAAGTGGCTGTTTATAAATTTTTCCAGCAACATGGAGAATATATTGCTCGGGTCCTTCCCATTGATGAAAGCAGCAGTGAAATCTTGTCAGTGCAGAATCCAGAGAAACATGGGTAAGTCTCATCCTCTCACTTGACTCATAACTTGATCGAGAAGAAACAGACAATTGTACAGCAATACAACCACAAGCAGGACACCACACTGAGTAGATGCATGGGTCTAAGTTGTTGTAGAAGCTGGTGACTGCTTATTTGATTATTTAAAGCATCAGCAAACTACTGGATCCGTGGAACAGTGAGTCTCTAAGTCGACATCACCTTTATTCTCAGTGCTTGTAAATACTAATTTGCTCTGATTCCTTTTTACTTCTTCCTTACCCAAGTGTACTTTTGGGGCTGGAATATTACCGAGTCTTTGGAGTTTTGTGCATCTGCATGAGTTTTAAGTTTTGTCTTGCATTTGTATTTTTTAAATGGAGTCTCTTGTCACTAAAGCAATTCAGAGCTACTGCCAGTGGAGGAAAGCTTTTCATCTTTAAAGGGTGAAACTGTGTGAAATGTTTTATCCTCTTGGCACAATTAATCTTACTTGTTGATGATGTTTTAATTTGCCAGAATTCCCATGTATCCTTCAGACTTTAGTTAGTGGCAAAACAGTAGGAGCCATAGCTGAACATAGTACATATTTTTAAACACTAGAGTAGGGGAGTGCTTCAGAACTGAATTTGGATTTATATGAGGCTAATGTTGTCCCTGTTGTATGTACTGATTTTTTTATTATTATTATGTGTTTTGTTTTTGTTTTCTGTCACAGAATGTGTATTAAGAAGCATAATTTTTACTGAGAGCTCCAAATGTTTTTTGTTTTGATGTGATAGATTTGAGAGTTTCTAATAGCAAGTCCTGCTGGCTTGTGCTTGAAATAAGATGTGATTATCTGATTACTATCTATAGCAAATTCTATATTTTCCAGCAGCAAAAGAAGAATCTGCAGTTAAAATGCTGACAGGTGATGACCTAAGTCATAGAAACAGTTTGAATAGAAGTAATTTTCATATAACACATGGCCTATAAATGTGAGCAGGAGAGCTTGTGTATGGAACTAAATTGTACTTAGTTCCAGCAATATCATCCAAATTGTAAATTACTGTTGACGTCTGGGGAAAGGTAATTAGGGGAGCTGCAGCAGCTGTCTTTTTCCTTAGCTCTTTGAAAATGCTGTGCTGTATGTCACAGCTAATAAAAGTGCTTTGTGCAAAGTTCCTCCTGCATTGGCAATGCCATTGCTCCTTGGCATTTGCAGGGAGTACTGCTGAGCGTAAAGTGCTTTGCTCTGCTGCGTGGAGGAGCTCTAGCTCACATCTGGAGCACAGGCAAGTGCCAAACGTAAGGAGCCCTGAAGGGAAGAGAAAGATCACTGACTACAACAACAAACGCACACTTTTGCCATCTGCTGGAGACAATACAGGCTATGCAGCTGTGCATTGCAGATGGCAGAGATTGTCGCCACAGAAGAGGTTGTCTATGCCTTTAGAGAAGGTGGGTTTGGTTAGAGCTTGCCTGTCCCATTCACTTAGAAACCTACAGCTTGCAACACAACAACGTTTCCATGGCACAAAATGTAGTAAGGACATGCCTGGGGCTTTCACCATTCTGTGTTGTTGAATCCGTGGTAGCCTGCACTATTAAAATTCTCTGGTTAGCTCATTTATTCCCCTCATCACTGTGAAAGGCAGTAGCTCTTACCCAGCTCAGCAAAGAAGAAAGGCTCTGATATTGTGCCCACGTAAAGGTAAAAAAATGACAGTTAAGTTCCTACCCACCAGACTGCAGCCACAGATGGCAGGCTAACAATTTGTTATTACTTGTTATTATTTTTTAACCTTAATTCCAGAACTGATAAGTGCTCCTGTGCCCTTTAGTTGGAGGAATTAGATTAGATGATCTAAGCTCTGATAATAAAACATGCAAATCTTACTTTTGTAAAAATCTTTTCTTTAAGTAGGAAGCAAGAACAGCTGATCAGAAGTTAAGAATAATTCAATAAACTTCTTAAATCAATTAGTAATCCTATAGTTTACTCTTTTTAATACTATGTGTTAGAACCTGAAAAAAAAAATGGTGCTGTTTTGTGATAAATTCTTTGACAAAATTCTGTAAGCTCTGAGTGGACGATAGCTGATAAGCCTGTGCTAGAAATGAAAACACCTTGAAGTTTTACAGGTGACACTTGTTTGATTTAATGCACTTTACACACTGTTTTGCAAATAAGAGCTGGAAGGTATGTGTGGTTGTGAGTCCATACCATTCCTGAAAATCAGGCATACAGCAGGAAAAGCATGGTTTATCGAAACAACTGCAGTTGAGGGGTGCAGTAAATTAATTCCAGGGTGGATTTTATCATATCTTGAACTATGCACCATGTCAGTATCTTTTTTTAAACCTCATAACCTGAATTACACATATTAATATCTTACAAGGTCTTCACATTTATGTATATTTACAAGAGAAAAAAGTAGATGCTATCAGGTAGTTCTATTTCATTTGGCATGAAACCAGCCAAGCAAGGGTTTTGGTTGGCAACATATTGAACCAATCTTAAGCAGAATATATATAAAGCCTTGAAACTTTATTAGGAAAATAGAGACAGTATAGCACCAAGTATTTATTTGTTACCAGGGTTCAATCATCCTGTCCTTGTGAGCAGAATACACATTTTTGTTGTAATGGATAAAGAGCTAGCGATGTTCTTTTTGCTCTTATGGTCTCATTCGGTCTGAATAAAATAGCCCAAGCCTGTGGACTCAGTAGTACAAATTCCATCATGAAGCCTAGACGGTACAGAAATAGTTATTTAGAAGATGCATATTTGTTTTATTTTGTTACTTGACATATTTCACTACACATGCTTTATTTTGCTTGGATAATTTTGCAAGATAATTTAGATATTTCACAAGATAATTTAAGATGTGTTACATAGTACTAGGATAGGGCAGATGGAACAGACACCAGGAAGAATATGTCAGAAGTGTTACCTGCAAGTGGTTTCCGAGTGATGAAACAGCAGAGGTTGGCAAAGGGATTCTTGTTTTGTATTATCCAGAAATTTTGCTAATTAACTTTTCTACATAATATTTGTAACAATCCTCACTACTCAAAAGATAATTATTCCCTTGTTTATCAATTCAACAGAATTATGTGCCATTCTTCTTCTTGTTGTTATTATTATTATTATTATTTGTTAAAAAGCAAAAAAGTCTTACTCTATATTTAATCTTACTGGTTTTGGAATAGTTTTGGTTAGGCCTTTACTAATTTATTTCCTAAGCAATCTGTAGGACTACTCTATGGGGAACAACACATTGCTATATTCTGTTAAAATTAGATTTGTTGCACAATAGAGTTTCTAGATGATCTAACTTTGTGGACCTGTTTTTGATATGGGTAGCCTTCCTTAAAGTTCTGTTGTGTTTTACAAGCACATGCAACTGATACAGGGAGAGAATCCATGTACTGCTGTCAATCCATTGTATTGGCAAAAAATTGTTATAAATCCTGCCATGGAGCATAGCAGTTTCTGATTTATCCCAAATGTCACTAGATGTTGTTACTGTCTTTTGCTGATTTTCTGCTCCCAGGGTGTTCTCTACAATCCTGTCTAGTTGCTATTTAATAGACTGCATTTTTTGTGTTACTGTAGTTGAGGAGACTGCAAGTATGCGTACATAGCATATGAGTTATTTAGAAAAGCAGAGTTACTGCCACAATTGGAACGTTGGCTTGGAGTGTCTCAGAGCTTGTCAGGCTGTCCCCATGGCCAATGATTTCATTTCACCTGTTAATTATTTTCCTATCTGTTAAATTTGCAATTATAAGGCTAGTAAGCTTATAAATGTGTTTAATGGAGTGATGAAAATACAAAGGAAATCTTTTCAACAAGGTCAGAGTTTGTAATGCAGGACTGATATTTATTTATTTTGATCTGTGTATTTCAGATAAGCTAGAGCCGGTCAGGGACAAAAATAGCATCATACATTTTAATTACCATTATTATTTTACATTTCTACTGGCACTATTAACGGTAAGTTGCAGTGTTATATACTGTATATATATACTGAAAGAATCGAGTATATTATATACTGTATATCAAACAAAACTTTTTAGTAAGTACATAGCAAACGACTACATAACTCCAATTTGGTCTTTCATTACAGAAAATTATTACTAATCCCATAATCAAGTTTTTGGTTTTGTTTTCCAAAATATTAGGTAAAAAGTAGATCTTAATATGGTTCATATGACTGAAGGTAATCTAGGCCTCCCTGAAGAGTGGAGGCAGTGCAGATCCTCAGATCAGCAACCTAATCATAAATACCAGGAGGTCAGACTTGTTCAGACATAGATTCAAAAGATAAGACCTGAGCTGCTGGATTGAGTTCACTTCTTTTGCATTTCCTGAATGACCTGGGCACATTACCTATATCTCTCTGAAAAACTTCTGGAAGGGAAAAAAAAGGTATAAAAATATATATATTTGGGGTGCTGCATATGAGCACTTAAACTCCTGACTTAGAATTTTGTGCAACTAAAATGTGCTGCAAATTTTTGGAGATATATTTTGATGCCTAAAAAAAAAGAGTTTAAATCATTCAGTCCAAACTATACATTTGAGAAATCAGTTAATCCAGAAAATAATCTGGATTTATGGATTCATTAGAAATTAAACTCTCCAGTCTTGGTGACCAGGCACCACTAATCCTTACTTTAAGAGAGGAGCCTTCAACAGTTCTAGACAGAAAATGGTCAGTTAAGGTTTTCCTGTGCTGTTATCTTCTAGCCAACTGTTAGCCCCTTTTAGGCTGGCAAATAAAATGCAAAGAAAAAAAATACAATTTTTGTAACTCTTTCCTTCCCCTTCCCTTTTCAAAATGTACCATCCTTAATACATTTGAGGAATCAGTCCTTTTCAGAACAGATGCTTGTTTTGGGAAACAAGTTTTTCTTCTCCACTTAACAAAACCTTGATTCTTTCAGTATCTCAACTCTAGCTCTGAAGAAAGCTTTCACTCTGTTGATTTTGGTATCCTGAGGAGTTAATCTCTATTTCATTTTCA